GAGATGTATGTTCATTCTATTGTAACTTAAATTAATAATTTGATTTAAAATATTGTCTTTTCTAAAAATAAATTGGATTTAATGCAGCAAGTTCTTGTTAATTGTTCTGAATAAAATGAAAAGGAATAGAGTACAGAAGTTTCAAGTTTTAAATATCACACTTTGTAACATAAAAAATATAAATATGTGTGCAACTAAAAAAGTTCTTATCATTATATTATCTATGGTTTGATGAAAAATCTATCAAAAAAACTTTCTACTTGATATTGGTGTTGAATGATAGAAAAAGAAGAATGAAATTTATAACAATAGAATACTAAAAAAAGTGTCTGCACTTTATGAGACTTAATGTTGAATAAAAGTTACCAAAGAAATTTTTTATTTAAAAACTGATTTTGTGGTTTATAAGGAATGTATTAGGAAAGTAATAAAAACTTATACTTGACTAAAATAATAAAAGATTAACTAAATTTTCAGAATTCCATGTTAGAAAATTGTTAATAATAAGTTCTAATATTCTAATTCCTATATTTTTGAAACCTTATGACTATGTTTGAAATATCAAAGGTTTACACCATCAGGTTGCAAAGAAATGGGGACTTGAGAATAAGAGTTCGTGGCGAGTATTCAGTTCCTTAGTAGATGGTTTCAAAATCAAAATCATAACTGGGTTCTATATCTACCAAGATATATAAATGAATATGGAGACTGTTAGATTAGATTTCAATAGTTTATAAACACAACCAAAGCCTAAATGTGTACACTGAATGACGAAAAATTTACAAAATAGTTTAAACCTTGATTTCAATTTATATATGTATATGCAGAGTACACTGGGTACTGTTAAAAGCTTAAGAGTAAAACATTTATAACTTGCAAAAATTCTTTCTAGAGTTGACAGCAATTATATTAAAACAAATTGTTTTAACTTTAGAATCTTTTACTTTTTATCACTACTTTCCAAAAGGGTGTTTAATCAATATTGGAAAGTAGATGGTTAATATTTAGAATTGGGAGAAAAGGAAATGAGTTTTTGCCACAAACTCTAACTGTTTCCCCTCTTTATTTTAGCAACCCGATATCGTAGACCTTTGATATGTTAGATCAAATAGTCTAAGTTTGAAATATCATCCGTTTACACCATCTCGTTGCAAAGATATATGGATTAGAAATTTTTGAGTTTGTGGCAAAAATTCAATTCCTTTGGATAAAGAGTAATAAAGTTCACACAGTGTTAAAATCAAAGATTGAAAGATTTTTATACTTTTTTTTTAAAGAATGAACTTCAAAGAATTCATATTTTTTTATACTGTAAATAATCCTTAGCCGGTAAAACATATATTTTCACTTTTTAACATTGCTTACATTTTTTTAACAAATAGTTTTAACTAATGCTAGTAATTGCTAAAATTTTATTTGGCAAAACTAAAAGATTTAGAATGTTTAATTGGATGAAAATGTGACATTTATTTCTCAAGTTTACAGAATAAATTGTTTTTAATTCATTTGGAGCAAAACATAAACAATTAATACATTAACATAACCTGGTTGCATCTTTCAAAATAAGAAACACTACCAAAAAAAGTATGTATTTTATCTTGGGACCATAGTAGGAATTTACTGAGCACAGAATCCTTGTAAAAATTAACATGAAGAATATATTTCACTAAAAATAATTATTAAAACTACTGTCATTAGCAAAGTCAACTTCAAGACGAGTGCAGAGGTAAAAATAGGGGAAGATGCACAATGTTAACTCCCCTTGGATACAACCCCTTGAGGAACACGATTATACACCTTAACTTTGGATATCTGTATCAAGAAGAGCCCTTCCAGAAGTTATAGTTTGACTTTGATGTAGCCATGAAAATGTAGTCTCTGGAACTAGAGAAGTTCCCATGATAAAGTCATCAAAATTACAGATACTTTTTACCTTAGGAGATTTTTTCAAACCATTATCAAATTCTATTAAACCTTACCAGATTCTATTAAACCTTTATCAGATTATTCGGAACCTGATGAGATTCTATAGAACCCTTTTTAGATTCTATTGAACATTTATCAGATTCTATCAAACCTTAAAGAGATTCTATTGAACCTTTTTTAGATTCTGTTAAACCCTTTAGGAGATTATATTGTACCTTTTTCAGATTCTGTCAGATTTCATTGAACCTTTATGAAATTCTATCAAGAAAATTTATTTTCAATAAGTCGAATACGGCCACAGGATTTCTTCTAACAATGCAGTAGATCTTGTAAATCATCCTTGTCAGATCTCACAATAATCTGCTCTGTCCCATAGAAGTTAAATTTTGTCTCTAGGGTGTTTATTTTCTGATTTCAGTTGTAAAGCAAAGCAAGACTTTTCTTTCAAGTAAATGATGTTTAGAGCAATTCAGGCACTCCTAGGCCTTTACCTAAATAATAGTTATAAAAAGAAAATTTTAAATACAATTTTATTTTTAAATATCATAAGTTGAAATTCAACTTGATTGAAAAAAATACCTTTGACCATTTAATCCTGTTTTGCCAGCTTTAGGACTTCAGGTGATTGAAGGAGGTTTAGCCTAATAAAATAATATAGTTTATTATTGCACATTATACAAGTACAGAACAAGATTTCTTTAGTTTTAATATTTATTTGTAATCTTATGAAAAGCCTTCATGGCCATGCCATTTAGAATATTCACAAATCTTTGCAAAAAAAAAATATCAATATTCAAGAAAACTAAAAAGTGATGCAAGAAGTTGTTATTAACTTTAATAAAAGCTATAAATTGTTTATATACAAATAAACAGGAATAACAGCCTAAGTTATAAAAGTCCAGTTTACAGCCTAAGACCAAGACTTTTAAAGTTTTGTTAAAGGCGCCCAGACCTATTTAAGGTTAGTCTAGGTGTACTCTTATCCTACAGACTATAAAATGTAACCCATTTTTTACAGTGATAACCAGAAAACTCTGAAATAGTCTCAAGTTATGCTTTTAAATGATCCCATGAGCATGGAACACAGTAATTGTGCAGTATAAACAGACCCATTCACATTAACAAGTGTAGTAAAACTATTTGCTTTGTAACAACATCAAATACCTAAAGTATTGCTTTAAAGTCGTCTTCCTATTTCAGAGTTTTCTTTTTAAAATCTTAAGCAATCTCTTACCTTAATGTTTAAATGATTTTATTTTATCTATAGTATAAGGTTTGAGGTAGAAGGATAGTATAGAACAGATAAAAATTACTCTTATCTTTCAAGGAGATAGATAGATAGATAATAGATAAATATGTATAGATAGATAGATAAATTGATAGATAGATAGCAGGCTCGTAGCTAGGAATTTTGTAAACTTGAGAACTCAAAACCTTAGTAAATGTTAGATTTAAAAACTTGACTTATTATTTTATTTAGATATATATTTTTAAAGGATGTTCTCTTCAATGTAATTGTTCATCGTTAATCGTTTTTAAAAACAAACAAACCATTTGTTTTGAACTTTTAAAAACGAAACAATGATTTGATCATTTACGTTAATTTCGCTATTATAATAAATACATATAATTTCAATTTTTTTTACATGTTTCTTGTTTTATCAGGGAAATGACGGTTATTAGCAAAGGGTCGTCGTTAACAATCTTTTTCTCAAAAAAAAAATAATAATGACCTACTTTTGTTAACAAAACGAGGAACTAAAACGAAAAACGATATTTTTCTACGTAGTTTCCTACGTCGATGACAAAACAAGAGTTTTCCAAAACAGTGATAACAAACCATCACATACTTACATTGAGACTATCAATATATATATATGTATATATACATGATTTGCTTGTCTGTTTGTCCGATTGTATCCAATAAATGTCAAAACGGCTGAACCGAAAAGGCCAAAATTTTGTGTGTGATCTCATATGACCCCATGGAATGTTTATTGCTGCAAAAAATTACAAAATTTGGTGTCCAAATGTTTTTAATTTTTGTAAAATTTTAAAATTGCGCGAAAAAATTGATAATTCAACGAACTTTTGTTAGTAAGTTTGTTTGTTTGTCTGTTTGTATCCAAGAAACATAAAAACGGCTGAACCGATCGGGACCTCTCGTGACCCCAGGGAAGGTTTATGGATGATCGAATTTTCGAAAATTTGCCAATAACAAAATTCGATTTTCATTAAATTTTTAAAAGTTTTGAAATTACGCCAATTTTTTTTGATGAAATCCGCAATTTTTTGTTTTGTTTTACAATTAATTGTACACAAAGAGAACATGCTCACACATGAAACAGAAGATGGGCGCGAAGCGCTCTAAAAGCCTAGTTGTTTTATATTGTACAAATAGTAGATTCTCACAATAGAGATTAAAGGCTAGAAAAGAAACCATAAATGAATGAATAGCCAAAAATTATTTTTATGACATGGAAAATTAGCATTAAAAGAATGCCTGTAAAAACTCAAGATAAGCATGAAAATGTTAAGTTTTCCAAAAAGTAAATTTTAGAAAACTATTTTTATTCACTTTTAACTCTAAGATTGAAGAATTTTTTTTTGATTTTGACAAATAATAAGATGTGACGCATGTTTTGCAATCAACATTTCAAGGGTTTTTAAACATATAATTTTAACTCGACGGATTAGTCTTTAAACAAAATTAACGGTTGAAAACAAAAATGAATGAAAAATGGGTTTTTAAAAAAATGACAACTTTTTTACTTGTCTTTTCCCTAGCCTTAAAAGTGTTGAAGTTTTCTTCAGTTGTATCTGCAGCAGAAATGTTTGAAAATAAAGAATTTGTAAGAGCATGGCCGTATAATGGATATCTCATTTGACCTTTATCAACAAATTATATAAACCGTTAACGGTTTTTATAGAAATTTATAGAGTAATATCGTTAATACTATAAACAACTGTTAATGGATTGCGAGGTTAACAATTTGACAAATCGATGATCGAAATATTTCTTTTGGAAGATATTTTTAGCCGNGTAAATAGACGTCAATTAAGAAACAAATATTCCAGTGCATAGTACGTGGCATGGAAGGGGAAAATGTTGTGGTTTATGGCGGCCTGCCTTTCCCCGCTTTTTGTGTTTATAAGGGGAAAATGCTTTAAAGGGACTAGACGTAATTTCAAGTGACGCTCATTTCTTGGAGAATATAATATCTGACTTACAGAGGTTATCTTAAAAGCGTCGTTTGATCAAGAATGAAGAGAAATCAATGTTTTTCTCTTCGACACTTGATTATTTTCCAGTTTTGCTTCTTTTTCATTACATTTATGCTCAGAAACAATGCAGGAAACTGAAGTTTTTTAAGGTAGAAAAACGAGGACATCTTCCACATTTATGGTCAAATAAATGATTCTGACATGACCCTCTAGTATATTAAAATTACAACGGTCTCTTTAAAAAGTTTGAGGGTGGTTTCGATGGATAACTTAAAACTCAACAAATCAGATTATTATCAAACTAGCTTGGCTGTCCAGGTTACTAATAGTTACTCATGCCGTTTACCCGTACTTGAACGGTTTTAACGGGAAACTAAATTTTTGCTTTTTAAGTCTACCCACNCGTGTGTCTCCCGAGTTCAACATTTGAGGCAGGGGTTCCTGAGTTATGATCGGACAAACAAACACACAGACAGACAGCCAGAGATTACAACATAGGCTCAATATTTTATATTTTGCTTCTTATTCACAAGAAATGCACAAGTCACTAACGCAGAGGAACCTTAAATGAAAATAATCAGTTCAAAGAAATTAAAACAATCAGACAAAGCTTTTTATTGTTGGGCATTTGATTTCATTCGTTTCTCAAGACTTTCAAAAGAAATTTTGATAAGTTTTACTTCAAAACTAAACATTTACTTTTCTTACACAATATTCTTCTCCTATAAATTCATGTAATGAAAAGAAGAAAATAAAGAAAATACAGAAACCTTAAGATATTTTCATCTGATATCATATAAATTTTAAAAATATTGTAAAACCTAATTAAAATAAACCAATAAAAATAAAAATTCATGTAATAAAACAAAATATTCGGAAATATATGATGAGTATAGCCGGCCAAACAGCTGGACTGTATGGGCTGATTTTTTTCTGTGGACAATCATGGGTAGCCTGGGGTGACAAAGCCTTAATTTGATTTTTTTTTCACTGGCAAGGCCGGGCCCTTCATCTTGTAAATTATAAAATTTCAACCCTTGGAGAAGATATTCGGATGAATTAGAATTAAAAAAACGAACCAAAGGATTACATAAACAAATATTTTAAATAACCATTTACATAAACAAACATTTTAAATAACCATTTTACATGCAGAAATCAAATCGAATCGAATCAAATCAAATCGAATCGAATCGAATCGAATCAAATCAAATGTCTTCATTCATCAGCCTGGAGTTTCAAGTCCTGATTGTGAAATGGGTTTATTTAGCCTGGATCTGAATTTATTTACAACATTTGCTATAAATCATGAAAATGATTAATTTTTAACGTTAAGCATTATGATACCAGGAAGACAGCCAAGTTTGAGCCAAAATCATTAAATCATTTAATAATTTAACTTGAACAGTTTTAGCACACGATTCAATAAACAACCTCTTCCGACTAGAATTGCACTTTTGCGTGCATTTATTAACAGGTCATAGAACACAAAACATTCAAGATAAACAATTTTGTGATTTATATTTTATTCTAAAAAAAATTATGTTACAAAAAATTACAGATCTAAATCTTTTTCGATTTATAATTTTCAAATCTAGGGATTGACAAAATTATGTTTTTCTTTTTTTATCAGGGTTAAAAAAATAACTTTTACGATTGGAACCGTCTTAACTGTATCAATATTTCATAAAGCTTATATTTAATTTTATGTTTAAAGACTTAAATAGTCATGATAAACTAATTAAAAAAAAAATCAACATTCTATATTTTTAATTTTTATATTTTTATTATTCTAGCTTACATGTAAAATTTCACAGTTTACAAGTTGTGTTTTTATTCTACATAATAAATTCCTAGCCTTAAATGAAATCAAAATTGCAGTTGACTAGCTTTTAAACATGATGCGGGCGAATTTTAAACTACTAGAAACAATTATAAAGCATTTTACTGTTGATTTTTAAGCCCCCATTTTTTCATCGTACTTCATTATAGAACAGGTTTTCGCAAAGAATAAGACTTCAGAGATGACTTAAGGGAATTCAAAGAGAGTCAGAATTTAATGGATTTAAGCCGCGTCTGAAATCCCCAAAAACCGGTTTCAATTGAGCGCCGGCTTGAATCTTGACAAATTTAATACAAATTTAAGTGGGACAAATAAAATTTGAGCCGCGGCTTAAATTCTTAAAACTCGGTCTCTGATTACCTAAATTTCTGATTTCCTTCAACTGTAAACTTGTTTCCTTCTTTAACAAATCATTATTAAATAAACCATAAAAAGTTAGGTCGTCTTTACAATCTCATTCTTTGTGGGTAACCCTGTATATAATTTTACACAAAAGCAATACAGCGGGACCCATTATACTGTGGAAGACGACTGTTAGCCTCAAAGTATGTTTTTAAATAAACATGGAACAATTGTGCCGAGTACACACACACCCATTTCACATAATAAATAGAGGTATAAGTATTTGCATTATAAAGATACCAAAGAAATACGAGATTTCTTTGCAAGAAACAAAAGTTTATTTCATAAACTCAATTTTCTGCTGAACTATTGATAAACTGAAGACAGTTATTCAAATCATCAGATGTTTGGTTGTCAAACTAGAGAAGTTACGAAGTCCCAAAGTAGCAACAGTACTACCTTATGATTGAGATTGGGGTGAGTTCACTGAATGTAAGAGATTTAGTAATCTACATTACGACGCAAATAAACAATCTCTGATAAAGATCTTTCTCACCTTACTATGATCCAGGATTAACTTTTTCCCTCTGAAACGATATTCTTCCTCTTCTTCCTCCTTCTCCTCGTCTGTACTGTAGTACTCAGGGTAGGCCTGACAAATATTATCAAAATTAGTTCAAACTTAAAGGGGCATGTGAGACTAAGCTTAATTCAAAGTGACCATCCATGCAAAGATGGCAATGCCCGATTTACAACGGTACCCTTGAAACCTTTTTACGGAAGATATTGTTGTTGTTATGGGTTTAAACTCTTTATTTCTGATATTTTCTTTATATTTTCCTGCAGTATCCATACAGGGTAAGCCTGGCAATTAATAGTACAGAGCCCGCGATTAAAAAAAATATGGGAAAATACGGCTCGGGTCTAAGCTGTCGTTGGGCTTTATTTAAGGCTTGAGCTTTCCGATTCAAGCTGCATCTCATTTTCCACAGAGTTGAGTTTTAAAAAACCGGTTTAATATTCTATTTGGCGGATTTTCATGGTAGGAATTGGCGCATTCCCAGTTTTTATGAGAACAAGAC